GGCCCATACTAGGGGTTCATGGTTTCAACCTTTGATGTAGGGCTTTCTGCTTGCAGCTCCCCTGAGGGTTCTTGCAAACACTGTACTGGGATGCTGTTGATCATATGTGAGGATTTATCAGGGCCACTTGGGGGTTTCCAAAAACAGGGATTCTCGTTGCACCCCCAAAAATACTACAGCTGGTCCTCCCAAGCAGTCATTTTTTCTAGGAGCCCCCATTATGGGATGACTGGAGTAGATAAGGCTTCGTTCAGGCTTTAAAATTGTTGCGCTAGGTTTGAGGGCACGCAGCCTCGCACCCTGCATTCTCATTGTTCAAAAAACCATGCCCCTGATTGGTCCTAGGTTTGGCCTCAAGGAGGTGGCTGTCGTTGCAACTTGGACGGCCAGAAATCCTTGTGCGTGTAGGAGTTTCGGATAAAATCTTGGCGCAAAGTCTCGGTGCAAAGTCTGGATTGAACAAGTGTAAGATTAATAGAATCCCAATATAACCCCAATATAATCCCAATATAACTTTTGCTTACCCCAGTTGGGGGCATTACGAAGGACTGGCAGAACCTGAAGCGCTGGCTGGACTTCGGAGTCAAAGCGCGGGCTGTGGCGAACACGTCCATGAACGAGCCTCGGGCAGATTTGTTTTATCTTTAGGCTTGCTGATGCTTAAGGGGAGAACATATACTAGGTAATGCTAGAAGGGGTTTTGCGGGATGCTCAGTGGCCATAGCTGTCTTTGTTTCAGACAAAGCTGTGAGGGCTCAAGTCCAAGGAAATGGAAAGGCTGGTCGTTGCTTAAGTGACCCTAAAGCCTACTTAGCGGGTCATGGGGACCTAGTAGGTAGGATAACACTCCCCCAAAGAATCCTTGTAAAGTGACCTATATTCATCCCTCTTGAGCACTAACAGCGCGAATCCCAATGCACCCAGAAAACTTGGGCAAGTCAGGCGACCTCCAGCCGGTCTCACTGCATCTTCAGCATGGAGGCACCAGGGCTGCAACGTACAGAGCATGAGTCGGGCGGGAAGAAATACATGAAAAGGACGATGGAAACTACGATGAGATGTAAAGGGTGTAGGGTTAGTAAGGACTGATGAAGTTCAAGAGGCAATCGGGAGGTTTTGGGGGGACTATGAAGAGATTACCACACTTATCCATGCCTCCATTCCCCACTCATCGGTTTAGGTTGGGGGCCTCGGTTCGGGAGAGTCGTAGAATGGTCCAAGTATCCCCTCAACCCTAAACCCACTAACCCCCAACCCTCAGCCCTAAACCCTCAACCCTAAACCCCCTAAACCCTCAACCCTAAACCCCCTAAACCCTCAACCCTAGGCCCTAAACCCTATCCTCTTTGAATCGCCAGAAGTCTGCTGAGGTGGTACACAAGATGCGCGCGGGAGGTGCAAGGACCCAGCTCCGCTCCAAGGCCAGCCAGCAATACCCAGCACCTTATCAGGGTTATATCGGATTTTGGGCTTGAGCTGCAGGAGGGACTACTGTAGTATATAGGGGTTATATAGGGATAATGGAAAAGACCATGGAAATTACTGTTTAGGGTTTAGGGTTTTGGCGTTTAGGTTTTTGGGTTTTGGGGTTCAGGGTTTTGGCGTTTATGGTTTTGGGGTTTAGGTTTTTTTTTTTGGGGGGGGGTCTTGAGATACTGTCAGCCTTAGCAGTTGCTTTGTCAGAAGTGCCGGCCTCAGTACCAGTCCGTGAATCAAAAAAAGGGATTTAGGGTTTTGGGGTTTAGGGTTTGGGGTTGAGGATTCATATGTTTTACGCGTAATGAAGGCCATGCGCAATTTATGTATAAGGAGTTGCAACGCAAGTTTGACCCCACGGAAGCAAGCCTTCATTAGCTCGAGCCCTCAGTTCTAAACCCAATAGATCCCCGTATAATTTAGCCCTATGCAGCCCTATATACCCTTATGTTAATAACTCTTAGCCCCCAAAACGGGAAGTCCTAGGCCAAACCCCTAAGCCTTGAACTACCTTCCCTGCTCCAGCTGAACCTGGTGGATCTCGCGGGCTCGGAGCGCCAGAAGAAGTCCCAGGCCACGGGCACTCGCCTCAAAGAGGGCGCCAGAAGCTCAGGCATTGCAGTGTTTCTGCGGGCGCAGGGCAGCGGGTGTTGGTTGTGGTATTTGGTTTAGGGATTAGGGGCTGTAGGGTTAAGTGAAGTCTATAGGGTGCCAGGAGGGAAAGCGTTCAGGGCTTAATAGGGGCTGGCGGCGGGACGAACATCCCACAATCAGGGATCGGTTTTTTGAAGCCCATCAGCTTCCTCTCACACTGTGACACTACACAGGTGGCTAAAAGATTGCAAAAGAGGTCAGGTGATAGTTTGATGAGGATGCAAGGCTGTGCCTCCAAAAGCTGCGCGTCCAGAGCTTTTCCCCGAGCTGGGCTTTTCAGTCATGGCCAACTTTCATCAGTCCACACTGCTGGAAGGAGAACTGCACCAGCGACACTACTGATGTTGCGACTTCTGCAGGACCTGAAGCATCCCTAAGATGCTAGATTGGCATAGTAAGGTCACGCAAGATGTATACCAAAATCTAAGCCCCTCGAGCCCAGGATGGAATTGCACAGGCTGCTCAGCAGCCACTCAACACTCCAGACACGAGCCCAATAGAAGTTGTATAGACCCCCTAAACCCGAAACCCTAAACCCTACACCCTAAACCCTATACCCTAAACCCTACACCCGATACCCTAAAACCCTAAACCCTAAGCCCAGCACGAATCCAAGGCCATGATCAACCAGAGCCTTTCGAACCTGGCGTTGGTCATCAGCACCTCAGTTCCGCAATTACAGAAACCTCTCCTTCACAGCTCAAGCAGATAACCACCCAAACAGACGAATGCCCACGAAATCGAGTACCGTCCCTGTTGAAGGCATTACAGCTGGCACCCAATTAGATGACCACCCCTCTTAAAAGGACTCCAACAATAAGCCAGAATAGACTACGGCCACCCCTACCAAGAGGACCCAGAAAGATCTCCTTGAGAATGTGGCGAATATGGAATTGGCGGGTGCAAGTTGGACCTGTTTTGAGAGCATGTTTCTGTTCAGCATTGATTCACGACCTGACTTCGCCCTGTTGCACAACGTCCCAATTCTTAGGATAAGGAAGGTGATGCCAACAACTCGGGCGCACCTAGGGCCATTCATGAAATTGGTGCGATTCTGACAAATCCAACGGTGCCGAAATCTTCTGTAAACTTCAATGAAGCTGCTGGCGCTGTGCCTGGTGCTGATATTGGTCTTGGTTTCTGCCAGTTACTACTACTGCTACCCCTCCTGCTCTTGCTGCTCTTGCTGCTGCTGCTGCTGCTGCGGCTGCGACTGCTATACGGCCCTTGCTATTGGTACTATGCCGACTATGATGACGGCGCCTTTAAATTTGTTCTGGCAAGACAAGTTCAGGCGCGCATTCATCACAAATTTCCGCTTATAGAGCCATAAGTTGGGACCTGTATAGTGGCTTAGTAATGTCAATGTATCCCTGGAGTCAGTAAACCGCAAACTCCGTTTCAGTAGTGCTTTCACTAGAGATGCTCTGATCCCATCTATAGGTTACAATTATATCCTCCTGGGTCTAGTAGTATTCTAGGAAGGGACTATAAACTTTCCTGTTTCCAACTACCGCTTGAGTAACCTACGTGTCCCTGGGAAGGGGACAGAAGCAATATCTAAGTAACCCAAGGGGGGTCTCTTGAAAGGGACTTTAAGGGAAAAATGGGGAAATGTAAGTAACCTTCAGGTCCCTAAACCCTAAGCAAACCCTAAACCCTAAACCCTTTAGGAAGTCCCTCCATCTTGAGAAAACATCCAGGTCGGCTCGCCGAGCTCGCGAAATCCGCTGACAGAAGCAAGGTGCGGATGGGATTGTTTCCAACTCAAAGGGTTTAGGGTTAATTTAGGGTGAACAGGGTTTTAGGGTTTTGGGGTTTTAGGGTTGAGGGTTTAGGGTTTAGGAGTTTAGGGTTTTAGGGTTTAGGGGTTTAGGGGTTTAGGGTTCAGGGAGTTAGGGTTTTAGGGTTTAGGGGTTTTCCCTAGGGCTTCCAGTTACCTGAATAGTAGGTTACTGGGCTATGTAACTATGGGGTATATAGAACCCAGTTCCCATTATCTAGGTAACTGGAGCCCTAGTTTTTTTGTTTTAGGTAAAAACCG